GTTAGTGTGATATTATGTTTTCCGCTTAGTGGGATATTATTATTATTATATTAATGAAATAATGACATTTTGATAGCACAAATCTTCGTAACCCAAGACATTGCCCAAGTGGTGTTTACGTTATGCCCACAGCCGAAAATTTTCATAGTAAGTGACGATATGTTTGTATTGTTAATAAAATGCAAACGGTTTTTCATGATATATTTATATTTAGCTTGGTACGGCGTGTTATTTGTCCATAAGGGATATTACAAGAACGGTGTTTTCAAGTTTAAATTAACAATCCCTAATGAATATCCTTTTCTTGGAGGGTTTAACTTTAAGTTTCTATTTACCGAATATCTTCAGATGACAGATCTAGTTAATGTGCCTTAACAAGTTTTTGCTCGAATACATATCCAGAACGTCCTCCAGCAGTTCAGTTCATCTGTAACTTGATAAATAATGACGGCTTGTTTCACCCACTCGTGAATCCAGAGAATGGAAATTTTTCTTTGACCCAACAATTTAAAGATTGGGCACCGCATAAGTATTATATTTTTCACGTGCTTCACTACATCAAGAAATCATTTAAGAAGGGAGTATTGGATCACTTGTCAAGGAAACATTGTCTAAACGAGAAAGCTTTTACTCTGTAAGTTTTACTTTTTAAGCCATTATCATCTCTTTCAAACCCGTTGTTAACTTGATATCTTGTTCATAACAAACAATTCAGATATAAAGAGAACCCAAGACAATTTGAAAATATAGCTAGACAGTGTGCCGAGTTGTCGATTTCTCCAACAGTCTTGTATGATAGTGAAGATGATTCTAATCCAATTCAATTCACAGACTTGTCAAATGAGAAACTTAGTGAGTAAATTTCATTTATCGATAAAACTATAGAAGTGATGATAAAAAATATCAGACCTGTTCTGAGTGATGCAGTGAAGATAAAAATATATTGCCAAAATCCTGATCTGTTCGAAAATTTTAATGACTTAAAAGAGGAAATATGCAGTTACTGACATCCTTTTCTGCATGGAATTTTTTCCTTATAGATGAATTGAAAAAATACGTGGCTCCACAGGTAAGATACATATGTTTTGAGTTAAAAATTTATCGAATTTTCACATTCATCCATATTAAATATAGAATGTCGAGAGAGATAGGCATAATTATAGTTCTCGAAGGACATATTCGACTTCCTCGATTCCCTCATTTGTAGAAGACAGATCACCCACTGTTTGATCGTCTTATTCGGTGTCTTCGACGTAACATAATGGATGCGGATTATCAATAGTTTCTCTTGAAATTTAGATAACTAGATGTATAATTATTATCTAATAAAACCTTGAAAGGTTATTTCGACCTCGTTTTTTATTTAAACAAGCATCTTATATTTGGGAAAGCTAGAATACGATTACTCGAAAAGAGGGCATATTTTTTACATTCTTCATTAGATTAAAATCTTAAGTAAAATGATATTATATAAGTTCCTAGTGATTCTGGGTCCGATTTCATCCGATTCAGACCTATTCAAAATTTTATTAAGTGACCATAATTATTTTGTTATTATATGTATTCAAATCTAGGGATTCCATCTTCAGGACGCTAAAAAAATGATATTAATTTTTTACTATTATATCAATATTTGATTAATTGTAAAATTTGCGACTTTTAGGTTACGATTAATAAGTCCATTAGTGTATTTATAGGAATTTTAACCAGAAAATATATAAACATTCGATGTCAATGAGATATTTGCAAATTATTAGATTGTTTAAAACATATATTTTTGAGGGATCATGTTCTAACATGAAAGAGGAAAAGGTAGAAATTTGTATTCCGCTCCTAAAAACTGATAAATGAATATCGTATCATTGAATCAAAAAAAATCTACGAATGGAAAATAAATCGAAATAATTTTATGACGGTTTTAATAGCGATTAACAATGTAGCGCATCCTATAATATTATATCAACAATTATATTTTCAAACGGCAAAAATGTCTGTGAGCAAGGAAAAAAATAAGTAATAAAAGAAATTGTAAAAGCAGATATCCAATACCCTCAGGAAAAAATGTATCAATACAATTTAGAAGAACATCACTCCAAATAGAAAAGCTCCCACAGCAGCCCCAACAACTACTTCAAATGGATAGTAACCTTCGGGAATTCGTTCTTGAACATTAACAGAATAACCACCAACACCAGAAATACTATGTCGGTTTGATGGAGAAATAGATTCATCATTTTTGCGTTGTCTCATTTGAGCTGTGTTCAACTCCTGTTTGTAATTTTCGACAGAGTGGCTAAGACGTTTGATTTCTTCCTGAGCTTCAAGTAACTGTCTTCGTAATTTTGCAGGTTCGTCTTTAATGATATGATCTTCATGATCCTTGGGAAAAGAACCAGGTGCACGAGATGAGATGGTTGTGGAATGTCCATTCATTATACCTCTTGATGTTGGAACATTATCTGTGTGTGCTGACACGGTTGTCTTATTTGAATCATTCGTGTTGGACGAATACGGCGGTGGAGATGATAAATGATTAATTGTCTAGATATTGAATACGAGTTTGAGCATATATATATCGATTGCTAAATCTTAAAACACAATTCATGCCCACCTTATCCGCTTCAGAGTAAATACTGCTATCTAATGGAGAACTTGGTGATGAAGGACGAGCAGGTACAGGAGTTTGAGGTGAAAGAGATAGGTTCGAGGGAGGTGATGCAGATGGTAAATTGTTTGCGGCAGGCGTGACTGGTGGCAAATATACACATCTAATTTTGTTTTCTTTGATGCTTTCTTTTGCCTCTTTCTCGGTTATAGACCACTTTTGATTAAAAAAAAAATACATGATGACCTAAAATTTTAACGATCTGTTGAATTTGAAAAAAAAAAATCTTACCAGTTCCTGTAAAGATAAGGTTTCCCGTTCCGGCGTAATTGCTATACTTTGTACCAAAAACTTGTCTTTGCATTTGAAATCTGGAGGTGGATCCTCCTTCATCGGTTGAAGAATAACTGAGCGGGAATTGTTGTGTCGAATTAAAGACTATAAACTAGAATTGCAAATTTTCTATCAAAGGTGAATAAATACCTTGGACCTCTACGCTTTGGTTCGCCTCAATTCTACCTGAGTTTGGCCTCACACAATATTGTTTGGGAGCGGTGGTTTTAACCTTGAAGGCTACCGGTTGAGTGTTAGGGTTACGAACAACAAGGATTTCCTTGACCAATTGTGTGAAAGGACCTGTAAGTTCATGAAAAATTTAACCTTACGATTAATATAAATGACATATATGATGCGGCAGATAAAATTCTTTTAAACATCTGAAATCATTCGACTTATTAACAAATAACTAGAAAAAGCATAAACTTTTTCATGTTTAATCGTAGCATCTAAACCGTCGCAAGGGTAAATTATACTTACGATGGAAAGGAAGTTGTAATGATGGCTCAAGTTCGACAGACATTATTTGATGTTATTCTGTTTGCCGTAAAAATCGCTTCTTATTCTCTAGCACTATTATTGATTTCTGTATCGTCGCCTCACTAATCGAAGAGAAGAATGAGTTTTAACTTTTAGGCGAGTTGGACGCTTTGTTGGTAACTGTCTGCAATACACTCAAGAAAAATAATTATGTATTTGACAAATGACACTACGTATTTGCATAGGATTATTAATAAACTTGTGTACAACGTTAAATCATTGATCTCATCACGTTAGATTTAATAGTTTGGTTTTTTCGACGCGTGATTGAAATAGATGAATAATATCTTAATTTTGATAAATAATGAATTTTGTCTTTTAAATTTATTTTTTCAGTATATACAATTTTTTTATTATGTTTAAATAATAGATTGATTAATAAAAAAAAATAATTTTATTTATTTATTGTTTAATTATTTATATTTTCACAATTATTTATTTAAAAAGAATCTGTTATATTTTTTTTACTGACTTTCTTGTCAATCCAAAAAACAATATATACAGTGGTCACTTTTTTTTCATTTGTAAAAAATTATATTATGAAAAATTTTTTTATTAAATTAATATTAATGTAATTAAAAATAAATTTATTAATATTTTAAAATAAAAATATTGATTTTTTAATATTAATAGAATTATATGATTTTAATTAATTTTTTGTTTGTTTTTATTTTTTATTATATTTAAATATTAAAAAATCAATAAATTAAAAACTTTATTCAATTAAAATAAAGCAGTATAAGAGGGGCAAAAAAATTAGATAGATTTAATATATGTCATCCTTATCCAATTGAAATTTAATTGGGACTTATGTGATTTTTGGAATTTTGGTGATTTTTTAATATATATATAAAGAGAAAAATGTACTAAAGACAAAGTAACAATAAAAACTATCCTTTTTACTATAAAACTTAAATTACTATCTAATACTTTTCCTTATATTATATCACATTTTTATATCTCTTTTGACATTACATGATTAGTGATTACAATATAGCGACAGACTTGCCATTACAAACTTCCAATAATAGTTAATAAATATATTAATGATATAGCAACAAGTAAGACTTTAATATATTAAATAAAATTATAAAATAAAATAAAAATTTTTTTTTAAATTTTTTTAAAAAAAAATTATATATAGCTATTATAATATATTACATATTATTTTTATAAATTTTTTTAAAAAAAATTTTTTTTATTTTTATTTTTTTTTTTTAATGTGAGTAGGCTTTACTCTAATTTATTAAATTTGCTGTGAATAATATATATTACATATATTTCTATTTACACTTAAATCATTACAATTAGAATTCACTCACAAGTATACTATCCAGGTACAACCTACTTATAAGAACTATTTTAAACGCACCAATTATTTTTTATATCTTCCAGCCTCAAATTTGTAAACTTTTTCAGTAAGATCCAACTACCAATCAAATTACCTATCGGAGTATTATGTCTTTATCTCCTCCTGGTAGTTCATCTTATTTAAGACCATGGGCCCGAATTGTCATCATTTGGGGAAATGAATAGAACCTATTGGCCAGAGTTTGTTTCAATACCTTTAAACACGAGGTTGACAATTCAATCCTTTTTTAGATAATGCTGGGCTTCAAGCATATGCTGCTTATTTAAGAAGATACAACTCCTTCAAAGTCAGGCTAAATCTTAAAGGAAGTCTTTCATTCTGACAATGGTTACCAACCAAGTACCTTCACTATAGAGTAGAGAAAAAATGGAACTTCTGGGTCACTTTTTTGGTACCCTGGGTACCTTTTTATAAATATGACTATTTTTAGCTCTTTTTAAGTTTTATTTTAATAACAATAAATTTTTTTTTACGCCACATACCAATTTTTTAGGGTATCAAAAATATATATCTAGATTGCCTTTATATTCTTTTTTTATATTCTATTTCCCCTATGTTTAAAAAGCATTTCTATAGTATTTAAATATCAAAATATTATATATTGCTTTCTTGGTTTTCTAAAGTTTTTAAATTTTTAATTTCATTAATATATATTTTGTTTTTTACGCCACATACCAAGATATTAAAAAATTACGATATAAAGATATCAAAATTTATGTCCTTTATTTCTTTTTATAATACCTTTGATAATGTTTTCCAACATAATAGCTTCTAATATGTTTTGAACACCGTCTACTATCAGAACGAATACTATTTCCACATTCAGTACAGGAATATCATTTTATAGCATTTTTATGAAAACAGTACCCTTCAAGATTTATATATTTATGTTCACATATTTTTCCACTATATAAAAGAAAACCACATATATATTCTCCTACAGACATTTTTTATATACCTACTATATATGAAATTTCAATTTGAACAAAAGTTTTTTTATAAGTATTATATACAATTTTTGGTAACTTTGCTTTACTATGGTAATACATACATGTAATAGATATGGAAAAGAATATTCTAAATTAGCAAAACTTCGTATACATTTAGAAAGAAAAAATCCATGCAAACCTAAGACAATTCAACAACCTATTCCAGAACCTACTACAGTCCCTATTTCAGAACCTACTCCTATTCAAGTTCCTGTAGATGAATTAATTTTATTGGATGATCCACTTCCACCTTCTACTCAAAATATACCTACAAATAATGATCTTTTCAAAAATGATGAAGAATGGTTTGATAAAATGGAAGAACGATATAACGTAAATTCTGATAATATCTGGCCTGAATTGGGTAGAGATCTCTTATCCAATAAAGCGAAAAGAAAAAAGATAACAATAGAGGGTAATTTTGGTGGTATACCAATAAGACATGATTATAAATTATCAGATACTGAAATAAAATTCGAAGAATGTGAGTCTAAGTCAGATCCATTAAGAACTCATCAGAATTTAACATTAATGAGTTTATGGCAGGCAATAGTTCCATTATCAAAAAACAAAAAATATAGTTTTAATTATTATATTGATGACCCTAATAAATATTTGGAAATGCCATATATGTCTCAACTTATAGCAAATGCACAAAATCAAATTACAAAAGTACTTAAAGTTGAGCTTCATAGAAAAGATCAAATTAAAACAGCTATAGTAGTAGAATGTATATATTTTGACTATATTCGAAAAGGTAATGATACTTTAAAATTATCAAAAACTATACACCATTATCATAGAAGTGAAATGCATATTATTCTTTCTGAAAATAATATTAATGAACATATAGATCTTACTATATCAGAAATAGATAATGAAATCGATACATTTATGAAATCAGGTTCTGGTTGGAATTTAGTAAGAATCGAAATGCTAAGCATTGAAGCTTATACACTTCGAAGAGGAAGTGGTGGATCATATATATTAACACCAAAAAAGCTAGCCAATACTAAATGTACTATTAATCCAGATAATTCAAAAATAATCGATCCAATTAGTGGGAAGCTATCTGATAATTGCATTCAAGGTGCATTAGCTTGTTACTTTGCCAATAAAGATGGACATACCTACTATCTTGATCGAATATTTATTAAAAAGGAATATAAGAAATACTTGGATATTGTTAATTTAGATAATATTTCAATGCCTATACCAATTTGCTCATGTATATTTAAAAAGATTGAAGATATGAATCCAGATATTGCAATTACAGTTTGGAAATGAAAAGAAGAAACTACTACATCAAAAACTGTAATTGTTAGTAAAAATTATAAAAGAAAACATCATATCCATCTCATAGCTCTTACAGATATAAATAAATCAGAAGCTACAAACCAATATGAGTAAAAAAATCATTTTCTCTGGATAAAGAATGTAAATGGCTTAGCTTTCAAAGATACGGCACATCATGGAAAAAAATATTTATATCATAGTTGTACTCAAAGTTCTTCAACAGAAATAGCATTAATCAAGCATCAAGATTGGTGCCTTGATATACATGGAGAAGCACCTCAAAAAGTTACGTTACCTATAGAAGGTGTTAATAACTTTGAGGAGTTTACAAATTACGATAGAATGATTAATGCACCATGTATTATTATAGCTGATTTTGAAGCTGATAATAAGAAATGTGATGAAAAATATGATGGAAAAATGCATAAAATATTTGAGCAAAAAGCCAACAGTTTTGGATATCTAGTTTATTGGATTGATACTGGTGATATATGGGGTCCTTATATATATTGAGGTGAAAATGCTATTCAAGAATTCGTTAAAAGAATGGATAATGAATTAGTTGAAATTAATAATATTTTAGCTATAAAGCATGACCGAATTGAGACTAGGGTTCCGAAAAAGTACCAAACTGGTATCGAACTGGTATCGAAATGGTATCGATCTATAGTAAATTTAATATATGGGTTGTGACCTACTCATATGT